AAGTTTAAATGAGCCAAAGGCCTCAGCATATAAAAATTATGTTGAACCTCACAGAGAAAAAATTTTTTGAAGTACACTTTGCCACATCTCAAACACAGCCTCAGTGGCACAAACATTGTGAGAAACCATAAACTAGATCTCTTGAATTGAGAAACTTTTGTATAACAAGGCTATAGAGTGGGAAAAGATCTTTACTTACCATAAATCCCTTTCAAAAATATATGAAGAACTCAGGAAATTAGTTATTAAAAATTAATCCAATAAGAATATTTGTTACAGACCTAATCTGAAAACTCTCAGACGAACTTAAAAATGAGAGACACCTAAAAAATGTTTAAGCAGAACATCCTTTAGCCCTCAGAGAAATGCAAACCAAAACTCTGAGATTTTATTTTATCCTTGCAAAAATGACCAAGATTAAAAATTACTGCTAACAATTTATGCTTAAGAAAATGTGGGTAGGGAAAAAACTCCATTGCTGGAAGTGCAAACTGACAGTCACCTTTGGATCACACATAGTATTGAAAAACCTGGATAAACCAGACTCCCTCATCAGGAAGAGAAGGATCAAAAATCCAGGACTAGCCTGTTCAGCGACCCTGTACCAGGAACTGTCTGAAGACAAAGCCAGACCTTTACCTCGAAAAACGGGTTTTCCAGCTGCAATTATCACAGTACTGTTTTAGGAACTAGCGGATTATGACCCTGGGAGTGGTCCCAAGGCAGGCAGCTGTCCTCCTGCGACCACCACTGTATTTTTGGAATTTATGACCCTCCTGGACCACTGGGCTGTGGCCCCTTTTTAAAAATTTTCTCTTTAGGTCACTAGAGGCTGAACTCCTCCCCCCACCCCCCCCCAACTAAAGCCACGTGCACTACCTCAGCAAGGATGGCCTCCAGCGAGCCATGGGGAGACCTGAGTGAGAGTCTCCCCAGCACTGGGGGACCCCCATTATGTCTATTTTTTTAAAATTAGGCAAATATTTACCTCAAAACTTAGCAATAACCCTTTTGGGCCTAAATACAAAGTTGTTTAACCATAAGACCATGGGCTCAGACTTGCTTACAGCAGAGTTACTTATCATAGCCAGAATCTGAAAATAACCCAAATGTACCTCTTTTACACCTAGGATAAATGAGACATCATCCTTTTAAGTATCCATGAATACCACAAAATATCTTGGAATAACTTTAAGCAAGCAGGACAGAAGTTTGAGTCCCGTAATCTCTGCGTGTGAAGGCAGAAATGTTTTTTATTTTTAACCATTATCACTTGGTAGAGTATAACTCCTGCCCTTGATAAATTTAGTGAGAGGCTGGAGTCTCAGCAGTTTAGCCTGGAGCAACACCTGTCAGCAGGAAAGAACCTCAAGCTGAAACAATACGACTCCCACCCAAGAGCGGGCCATACAAATGGAAAAACTTGTATGAGAATTTTAAATCTTGAGAGATCCCCTACTTTCTTGGGAAAGCAGAAGAAACACAGCAAAAATGACAATTTTACTGAAAGCAATCTACAGATTCAGTGTAAATGTCCATTAAAAATTATAGCAACGGGCTGGAGAGATGGCTCAGTGGTTAAGAGCACCGGCTGCTCTCCCAGAGGTCATGAGTTCAATTCCCAGCAACCACATGGTGGCTCACAACCATCTGTAATGAGATCTGGTGCCCTCTTCTAGTGTGTGGGCATACATGGAGGCAGAATGTTGTATACACAATAAATAAATAAATTAAAAAAAATTATAGCAACATTTTTCACAGAACTCACATACAGATTTTAATGTAAATGTTCATTAAAATTATAGCAAAACTTTTCACGGAACTCGAAAGAACAAACCTCAACTTTATGAGAAAGAAATGAAAACTCAGGATAGCCTAAACAATTTTAAAAATTTTCTGAATGTATTACAATCTTTGATTTTAAAACTTTTTTACAGAAACACAGTACTGAAATTAATCTACCTTAGATATAAACTTAGACACCTACAAACTAAAGATTTTTGACCAAGAAACAAGATTTTTAAAAATGGAAAAGAAGCATATTTACTGTCCTAAATGAAGCTGCAGCTTTTTGAGTCTAGATTCCTTTATAGCAAACCTGCCTGTCAGCTTTTGCTCCATATGGCAGGGGGTTAAAGACATAGGCTCTCTAGCCCTAGCAGCCAGCCTGCTTGGCAGGCATAGCTGTGTGGATTGTACCCTAACTTCTCGCACCTCGAGGGACTCCCTTTTGAGTCCGCAAGCAAACACATAAAGCAAACACATAAATCTCTCTTTTTGACTCTTACTCCTCTCTCCCTGATTGATTGATTTTTTTTTTTTTTTGAGACAGGGTTTCTCTGTGGCTTTGGAGCCTGTCCTGGAACTCGCTCTGTAGACCAGGCTGGTCTCGAACTCACAGAGATCCGCCTGCCTCTGCCCCGAGTGCTGGGATTAAAGGCGTGCGCCAATTCCTGTATGAATTTCTCTTCCTTTGAAAGTCCCATATCTTTTTGGACGACAGTGATCCTGCGCCTACCTCATTCTGCAGATGTGTCTGAGTTCTACAGCCACAGAATCTTCTTTTTTCTTCTTGTTGTTGTCCCGGGACAGCGCATCTTCATCCAATAGTTGGCCGTGCTCCGAGTCACTGGTTCGGGCGCCACTGTAAACCGCTTTGGGTGGGTTACTCAGTCTAGGGTCTGTAACCCACCTGGCAGTTCAGCTATTCCAGGGTCCCGGAGAGGCACTATCTGGAAGATATGGGGGGAAAGAGGAAGAAGGCTAGGTAGATTTGTCGAAGCCTGCGCTTATTAGAGACAGGTTTACAGTTTATATAGGGTAAGGAATTGGGGGGGGGGGGCACAGGGGCCTGGACTCTTGTCGCATGGTTCACGTAGTTCACGTTGGTCACTAGGCCAGGAGGTTACATTCGGTCAGATCACATAGGCGGGGAACTCACAACTAGGAGTTGACACACCTAGTTCTCTAGATAGTTTGGAATGTGGGGCGGGTTCCACTAACAGATAGCTCTCCATTAACAGCCAATTTGGGTATGGGGTAGGCTCTGTCAATAGAACGATTCCTAACACAATTAGGGGTGTGGGGTTCTCTGCAGACTCCCCAGGGTGATGGTTCCTGTAATGACTTCAGGAGGAAACAGCTCCTGACACCCTATCTTCAGACTCTAGTTTATTTGTTGTTATTTTTAAACATTATTTGGGATGTCTTTAGGAATAGTTGCATCATATCTGCAGGTAATTTTGGCTCTATCAGTTGGCTTGAGGTTTCTTGAATGTCAGAAAAATGTAAAAATGATTACAGGGTGAGGGGCTGTGTGTTCCCTCTCATATCCCCTTCAATGCCCTGTCTTTCTGTCTTATTTTGGGACAAGCAGACCTCCCCATGCACAAATATAAATATAGACAAACGTATATCGCAGGATACAAAAGTCAATCGAGAATGAACAAATGATCTACACAGGACTAGAGAGACATCTCAGAAGTTAAGAGTGCCTTTTGCTATTGCAGAGGACCTGACTTCAGTTTCCAGCACCCATATGGTGGGTGACAGATGTCTGTAACTCCAGATCCAGGGGAACTGACAGTCTCTTCTGGTCTCAGTGGGCATCTGCACTCAAACGTGTATATGGCACACACAGACATACAGGCAGACCCTCAGTAAATAGGGAAAATAAACCTAAAAGAAGTCCAAATTACAACCTAAACATGAATCTTGTAGCAGAATACAATTGGATGTTCAGGTTCATGAATTACAAACAAACTTCTTAGATACGGCAAACCCCCTTTCATTAAATGAAGAACAGGAGTGTTAAGAATTCCATAAAGTGAGAAAATGTCTATTCTTCCAAATATATGATAGAAACATATTTTTCTTACCTGGGAAAATGAATGTGGGAAATTGTATATCAGATGACAGTCTTCTTGTATCCAGAATACAGAAAGCTTCTAAAGGAGACACTAAGAAAATAAACAATTCAGGAAATAAAACTTGACCAGAAGGGTGAGTAGATGCTCCACTAAGAGAAACATACAGCAGCAACATGCTTAACACTTAGGGAAGAGAGACAGGTGATTCTGATGGGACTCTCGACACCCATATAAAATACTCAGAAATAAAGACTTGTCATACAAAGACCTGGCAAGTTTGTGGAGGATGACTCTCAAATACCCACTGCTGGTGGCCATGGAAAACAGGATGATAACTTGGAAAAATCTTTTTCTGTTTCTTCATATGTTAATTGTCATCTGGCCATCACAACCCAAATATATAACCTGGAGAAAGAGGACATATTTTCTTTTAAAGACTTATTTATTTCAGTTCACAACAGCTTTATATACAAGACACTGAAATTGAAAACAACCTCAGCAACAGGCAACAGGCAAAGACTCATTTCCCAAAACCAGCACGGCAGTTTTCAACTGTTAACTCCAGTGCCAAGGGATTCAATGTCCACTCTTGGCTTCCATGAGCAACAGGCATGCATGAGCTCTTCATACCTATATGTAGGCAAGCATATATACACATGAAATAAACTAAATTATAAAACTTGCCGTGTAGCTATACATTGCTACACTATTTCATATTAAGAATGAACAATTATCATGGGCAACAAAAGAGATAAATTTAAACATATATTCAAGATGAATGAAGGCCAGATGTCTCTAAACTCTGGTTTTATCCTAATACATTCCAGCATATATAAATTTGTCTATAATATCAGATTGTTGTATTTTTCTGCAGACAGGGTTGGGCAGTGGTTGGGTATGAGAACCTAAGTAACATAAAGAAACTTTATGGATTGGTAAATAATAATGAAACTTATACCTACCTGAGTATAAGAAGATGTCTATTGTCATTATGGGGAAAAGTGGAAAAATACAAATTACGTTTTATATTTGGTGACTTGGACTTCAGAGATTGCCCCATGGTTAACAGGACTTGCTGCTCTTACAGAAGACCTGGGCTGGGTTCTCAGCACTCACTTGCTGGCCCACAATGGACTGCATATCTGTTTCTAGGGGAAACAACACCCCTTTCTGTCCAAAGCAGCACACCCTGATCCTGAAACCAGAGCAAAAGAAACATACACTGACCCTGAGACTAGAATCAATTCACTGGCCCTGAAACCAGAGCCCAACGTTTTAAAAAGGCCAGTGAAATAAACACACTTTGTCCCTGAAACCAAAGCCACAGAAACACACTCTTCCACTTACCAATTCAGCGAAACAAACTAACCAATCTCTCAGCATAAAAGGAACCAATCCCAGAGCAGGAAAACAAGCTAATCACTGAGCATGAAACCACCCTGTACCTGTTCAGTTGGGAGCTGCCTTTCCCACTCTTGCAGGGTCAGCCACCTCCTGGACTCTTCCCTCCCAGTGAATCTCTTAAATGAGGCTTGGGTGAGACCTTCTTTGCCTAAGAAGAACAGAGAAGCAATGACTTCAACTGGAGCCAAGCAGAGGTGAGGGGAGCAGAACTGGAAAAGTTTCTCCTAGCAGAGCAGAGTTGTTACTCTTCTGAGGATCTAAGGAGAGCTGTAACAACCTGGCTGGGGTAACCCTCCCCTACCAGAGCAGAGCTGTTAATTTGGGGCAAACTTTCCCTGAAGCAGGGCTGTGAGCTCCTAAGCTTAAGGTGAATTTGTGATATTCATTGATGCCATCTTAAAAGGATTCCTCTAGCCAATACTGGGACAAATGGAGCATGGAAATAGAGAACGGCAATAGAGAGGAAAACAGTTTAGGAAAATGGGTGTTGAGCCATACTGATAAAAGTCAGCACATGAGTAAAGAACTATGGAGATAAGTAAGCAGTGTACTACACACCAGGTCATCATTGAAGAGGACCAGGAGAATTATAACACATAACCTATCACAGCAGTAAGTGATTAACTAACTTTCACACATATATATCCAGGGACATATCTGCACAAGCATGAGCATATACACAACACACACTAACAATTGTCAATGTAAACACACAGCTCTCACCTCGAAGGAAGAAGAGAGTTCATTCTGGAGTCAAATATCTGTGAGTAAACATGAGTGAGACAGGTTTATGTTAGTACAAATTACATGTCACAATGTGGAAACAATTTCATGAAGTTTTTATAATAACAGAATGAAGAAACTGTAGACTCTCCTTCAGTGCATTGGAGATAATATTAAGTAGACTATTATGGTAAAGCAGAGAAACCTCAGCTACTAGCTGCTATGTGATGACACACAGTACTTTGACTCGCAGAAACTTAGAGCTTTGTTAAGGAGACATATTCTGATATTTTAAATGTCAGGTCCAACGTCATCTGTTAGTGACAAGGTGTTAGGTAAGTCCAACACAGGGGGCCCAAGGATTGGCTACTCATGGGCTCAAGAGAACACAAAGGAAATTGTAATTAGGCCCTGGGACTGCGACTTCCACCATCTCCATATCACTGCAGGTCTAAGAGTCAATCAATCAGGCTTTGCAGACCAGCCTCTGCCAAGGAATTCCTGTACAAACACACACACACACACACACACACACACACACACACACACACACACACACGACACACACACACACGACACCTCTCATTCTCACTCTCCTAGCTCCCTGGTGTTTACTGAGAGCTCAAGGGGTACAATCACGTTACAACAGATTCGTCTCTGACCACACACAGGATGGTGAGAGCTCCTAAATTATGTGGTCTGAATGAGATTCCTGTGACGATGGCCATGGACTTGTCTCTGGGACATTTCTCTCATTTGTTTCAGACTGTCAATAATAACCTGTAAATGCCGATAAGAAAATAGCGACAAACTGCATTACACATCAAATAACGTTTTCATCATGGGGTAATCCATGCTTTCAACAAAATATATCCTTTGTAAGTTTCATTGACACTTGTTTCCTGACAGTTTACAGAAGATTTAATAATTTGTTCACAGAAAAAACAATACGTATCTATTTGTTTAAAAAATAATAGCAGTTATAGATGAATCAAAAAGTACAAATATTTGTGCATTATCCCGACAGATAGATCCATAGTGCTGATAGGCCGAGAGATTTCCAAACATTGCTGAATTGGAGACAACCTGTCTTAATGAAGGACAACTATGTTCACGGCTCAAACAATTCATTATTAGTAAGATGTCTGTTGATTCAAAACTGAGCTACAGATTCGATGCACTAACAATAAAATAGCACTTACTCTTTTTAAAAATTCTCGAAAAACCAAAAAAAAAAAAAATTGAGTGGAAGCCGGGCGGTGGTGGCACAAGCCTTTAATCCCAGCACTCGGGAGGCAGAGGCAGGCGGATCTCTGTGAGTTCGAGACCAGCCTGGTCTACAAGAGCTAGTTCAAGGACAGGCTCCAAAACCACAGAGAAACCCTGTCTCGAAAAACCAAAAAAATATAAATAAATAAATAAATAAATAAATATAAAAATTGAGTGGATAATTCTAAACATTGTAGACTAAATATATAGCTTGTGTAAACCTTAGAAACAGACAAATGTTAGAGAACAGCATTGCCTGATAGGAGACCTCTGTTTGAACCTACAGTAATTGGACCAGCATGCTTTTGAATCAAAGTTGGCAAGAAAAAGTCCAAAACCAACATTCCACGCTCACATCCACACATTTACAGACCACTGCCTATATCGAGTCAACATTTTTCCTGTGTCTGATGCTGGCATCAAGCTTGTGTGTAGTGCGTGTAGTGTGTGCTGAGAAGAACTGACCATACTCCTGCTGCAGCCTCCCAGGCACTGGGATTACTGGCATATGTACCATGATTGGATAATTGGAGAACTGATGTTTCACAAATAAACAAGGCAATTTGATGCATAAAGATGGCCTTTCAGGAAGCAATACTGAGGCAAGTGTATATCCAAACCCACAAATATAAACTAGGACCTACATCGTATCATATGTGAAGACCATTCAAAATAAATTACAGATGTAAAAATATAAAAATCAGCCTATAAATGTCAAACAGAACACAAGAAGAAAATCCCTGTCACTGAGTGCCAGGCAAAGATTTCGCAGACAAGACACCGAATAAAAACCGTAATTGAAGAACTAGAGAAGGTGGGATCTTACAATTTAAAATCTCCTGCTCTTCCAAAGACATGGATGAGAATTGAGATGATAAGTCTGAGGCTAGGAGAAAAGTTAGAAATACATATATCTGATAAAACATTTCTAACATTTCTATGAAACATACGGAAAACCTCAAATGTCAGCGAGCAATCTCACGCACAGAGTGGGAAGTCGGGATCACAGAGTGCTCATTTGGCCTCATTTCCCTCCTGCTCACTCTACGACAACTCCCCTCCTGGACAATGGCTCCAGCACAGCCCTGTACAGAACAGCACAGGAGGAGGCAGAATGGTCCCAAGTCTCTCTCCTTCCGGAGAAACACAGGCTGCAAGCACGAGGTAGGAGTGGTTCAACTTGGGTCTGGAATCCCTGCATCTGCCTCCCAACCCTCAGAAAGATTCTGGTGCTCACCTCCGGGAATCCATAAGCTCAACTCAGTCCAAACACCAGGAACTGAATGCTCCTTTCCAGGACATCGTCCGGTCGCCATTTGAAAAGAGTCGCCATAATGACCCCGGTTTCTATGAAAACCGCAATGCTGCCTCCCCCTTAGTAACCAGGAATGGCTCCGCCCAGCCCTCCCTTACTTCCTCTCAAAGGAAGAACTCTTCACCCTTGTTTTCACCCAAGAAAGCATACCCATTAGAGAAACTGTCCCCACTACGAATGCAGAGCTTTTCTTTTTTTTCCGCTCTGTGAACAAAGCATATCCCTAAAAGCCCGACCACATTGTACTCACCAGACCATGGTGGTATCTATGGAAATGTCGTCACAAAGATGAACATTGCTGTCACGGTGACAAATGAGCAATTTTATCCAATAATTAGCTATGCATATATAACCTCATCATGGGACTTTAAATTCTGGGACACCTTGTACAGAAACATCCTGAAAAAAGAAAATCAAAGGTTAAAAGTATTGTTTTGGAGATGCCGGGGCTCGAACCCGGGGCCTAATATAGGCAAAACATGGGCTCTACCTCTGAGCTACATCCCCACACCTGGTAACAGCTTCATCAAAGCCCTTGTGAAGTCAGAGGAACCGCGCCAAAGTACAGAGTCTCTGCAAGGGTCTGCATCAGGTCCTTTGAGCATACTGGATTCCAGGTTGAGTTTAGTGCTTTGATAGGATTCTTGGGACATTTGTTGCATGAGAAAACAATCTATTTTCAATCAAAGGAAAAATAATAACAATAAAAATAATAACAACAACAATTATAAGAACAAACCTTATATTCTTTGAAGCATGGTAAGCTAACAATGAATGATACTTTGAATTACTCAGTCCCATCAATTTTACTTCAACTTTACCTGCAGGTGGTTCAACATGCCAGTATCATGGGGAATTAATAATAATATGTTGCTGATATGCGGTCATGTTTGAGAGTATGAGTAGCTTCCTGAAACCCTCTCTAGCATACCTCCTTTCTCTTTTAAAAGACGCCTTAGTTTCCGGGCTTGAAAGGCAGTTTTTATAATCTTGGTCAGGCTGCTCATTTTGTTTCTTAACGTTGCCAATACTGTCCATCACTCCATTTACGGCAATAACTAAATGTGCGGTAGCTATTGGTTCACAAAACCCTAAGGTGCTGTCACTTTCTGCATGTTTATGTATCTCACCGCATGCTTTGTAAGTTTCAAAAATGAGAGGTTTTCTGAAATATGTCCTCTTTTCATACATCACCTAGTATATGTCTCAATATACAAAATCATTAAATAAATATTTCATGTATGTTCAGATGAGTTAGAAAAGTGAGTATTTTTAAAAAGAAAACAATCATTTTTTTTCATTTACATACCATCCAAGTTTCTATTCCCTCTCCTCAGCCCATTCCCTCTTCTTACCCGTCCCCCCAACCTTCATCTACTCCTCAGAGAAGGCAAGGCACATTGCCCAGAGGAATTAATACCTGGGGCTTTAATTTAATTCATTGGTCCATGTGTCTGCTTTTATGCCAATACCAAACTGTTTTTATCACTACAGCGCTATGGTGAAGTTTTAATTCAGGGATGGTGATGCCTCTGGAAGTTCCTTTATTGTACAGGATTGTTTTAACTATTGTAATTTTTTTTTCACATGAAGTTGAATATTGTTCTATTAGTCTGTGAGCAATTGTGTTTGGATTTTGATGGGCATTTCTTTGAATCTCTAGAATGTTTTTGGTAAGATTGCCATTTATATTATGTTGGTCCTACCTATGCAAGAGCATCCATGAGCGTGGGAGATCTTTCCATTTTCTGATATCTTCTTCAGTTTCTTTCTTTAGAGACTTAAAGTTCTTGTCATATAGGTGTTTCAGTTGTTTAGTTATAGCTACCCCAAGATAATTTATATTTGTGGCTCTTGCAAACAGGGATGTTTCTCTGAGTTCTTTCTCTTTATTTTATCATTTCTATATAGGAGGGCTACTGATTGTTTTGTGTTGATCTTGTATCCTGCCACATTACTGAAGGTGTTTATCTGCTGTAGGAGTTCTCTGGTAGAGTTTTTGTGGTCACTTATATGTACTATCATATCATCTGCAAATAATGAAAGTTTGACTTTTGTTCCTTTCCAATTTGTATCCCTTGATCTCCTTTTGTTGTCTTATTGCTCTAGCTAGGTCAACTAATACTATATTGAAAAGATACGGAGAGAGTGGACATCCTTGTATTCTTCCTAATTTTAGTGGAATCACTTTGAGTTTCTCTCCGTGTAATTTGATGCTGGTTGTTGGCTTGCTGTAAATTGTTTTTATTGTGTTTAGATAGGTTCCTTGTATCCTGATCTCTTCAATACTTGTACTCCAGATGGGACTCAAACTACCTCATATTCCACATATAGCACTTGGGGCATATACCCCAAGGACACTTCAACCTACCAGAAGGTCACTAGCTATTCCATGTTCATTTCCACTCTATTCCCAATAGCCCAAAATTAGAAACAACCTAGATGTCTCACAATATAATAATGGATAAAGAAAATGCTGTACACTTCTATAATAGAGTATTATTCTTATTTCAGAAAAAAGACATCATGATATTTGCAGGTTAAATGATGGAACTAGAAAAAAATTTCTGAGTGAGGTAACCCAGACTCAGAAAGACAAACATAGTATGTACTCACTTCTAAGTGTATATTAGATGTAAAGCAAAGGGTAACCAGGCTGCCATCCTGAGCTCCAGAGAAGCTAGGTAACAAGGAAGCCCCAAGGAGGGATGCATGGATCGCCCTGGGAAGGGGAATTAGATGAAATCCCCTGGGTAAACTGGGGGTGAGGCCGTGGTGAAGGAGAGGCAATGGTGAAGGAGAACATGAGGGAACAGGATGGTCATAGAGAATGGAGTGGGAAAGCAATGTAAGAGGGAACTTGATAGAGAGAGTCACTATGGTTTTAGGGAGAAACCTGGTGCTAGGGAAATTCCCAAGAATCCACAAGGATGATCCCGGCTAAGATTCCTAGCAGTAGTGGAAAGGGTTCCTGAACCAGCCTTCCCCTATTATCAGATTGGTGACTACCCCAACTATCATTATAGAGGCTTCTCCAGTAATTGATGGACTCAGATGGGCCTTCTGTATGTGGAGAGATAGTTGTGAAGTTTGGACTATCTGAGGGGGCCCCCAGCAGTGGGATCAGGATCTATCCTTGGTGCTCAGCCTTGTTTGTTGGTGCCCATTCTCTGTGTTGAGATGTGATGCTATCCTTAATGCAGGAAAGAGGGACTTGGTCCTGCCCCAAATTAATGTGCCCTTACCCCTCGGGAGGAGTAGAGAAGGTGTGGGCTGCTGTGGGGATGCATGGGGAGTGTGAGCAGAGGGAGAACTGTGGTTGGAATGTAAAATGAAATTTAAAAAACAAATTGATGAATTTAAAAAACAATAGAACCCACCCCCCAAATCCTCTTAGCCAAGACTGGTGGTTCATGCCTACAATCTCAGCACTTAGCACGTGGAGAAAATAGAATGCAAGATACAATAATAAACATTATTCTTTATTTTTGTTTTATTATATTTTATTTTGTTGTGGTTTGTTGTTATATCTTAGAAGCCTTTTTTTTTTTTAAATGAGAGACAGAAAGGAAGTGGACCTGGATGAAAGAGACTGGGTGGAGCTGGGAGGAGTAGAGAAAGGGAGTCAGGAGAAATTGTATTCAGATTATAGTGAAATTGAAAAGAATCTGTTTTCAATACAGGGGGTGGAGAAAAGTTTTAAAAAGAGAAGATCATTGTAGGACTTCAAATTAGAGGAAACTTATTTAAGTTTCTGTGCCAAATGATAAAGTGCATATAAATATATATCTATATCTCATGCAACATGTGGAATATATCATACCTGAAAATACGGTTGCTATTTATCTGACAGTGCTGGTGAACATGGTGCATCTCACTGTGCACTTCTAATTTCTAGGTTTCATGCTGAATGTGAAGAGACAAAGAGAAGACCGATATGTATAGCTGAGTCCCAAACTTTGCCTCATCCATACCCTCCTGAGCCCATACAAGCATGCACAGAGGCAGAACCTTTCCCTGCCCCTCTAACAACAGCTAAGGCAATGAACAGAGGCTGCTTTGTAATAAGGCATTTACTTTTGATGCTTTCCTCCCTTTAGCAGGGCAGGGTTCTGGGAAGATAGCAAAGGAGGGAAAGAGGAGAAGGGGGAAGGGAGGGAGAAAGAGAGAGAAGGGGTGTGGAGAGGGAGACAGTGGGAAGAGTCAGGCTTCCAGCTAGAGTCAATTTACCACACCAAACAGCCTGGGAACCCTTTGGGACTAAGAGGTTATCTGGGTTGTTGGTGCATATTTTGAGTGTATTCACTCTTGATTTTAGCTCCATTGTAGCCAGGCCTACATTTTCCTCTAGCTTCATGCGCAGAGATTTCCAGGGCCAGTCCTTTTCCATTAGCTGAACTCAGTTTGCCCATCTGTATACTGGGACTCTGCCTTCTAATCTTAGCTCTCAGTGCCCTTTTCAGCAGGCTATGCTTTTGTTTATGAGTAGGTTATTCTTCTACCCCGATATGTCTGCTCATGCTAGATATGGGCCATGTTGTATCTGCTCCTGTACTCAGCCTCATGGTTCTTTTGTGAGGCCCTCCATTTGCGCTCCTTAGACTGGGGAGGGGAGTCCCTGCTAAGTCTTTATTCTTACTAAGTGCCTGTTGTATGCCAGGTGCTGTCTTCCATGTTACCAACTCCTCTTGGCCGCACTTGTTATAGATCTGCTTGGATTAAATGCCCCTTCTCCACCGAGTTTTCTGTGGCAGGAGTGGCACCTTTCTCTTGGTGTTCTTTCTCCTCTACCTAACCTCAACAGAGCAATGTGCTGCTAATCCCCTTCTCAATTGTCTGTAACTAGGTCTCTGACGTCAACATTCAAGTCTGCATCATTTCCAGAACATGGGAGACATACCTCCTCTTGGTACCATGCAGACTTAGGCCTGTAGTGAGGCTTTCCCTTCCAAACCTTTCCTGCCCTTTCTGGAGACTAGGACAATACTCCGTGCTTTCCACTGCCCTCCACTCTGCCTCAGCCAATGGATCCTGAATAAATAGCTGCGGTGGATTTAGGAGGTTGCCGGGGCAGTGGGCCTCTGCCTGTGTTTAACAGTACCTGAACACACTTTAAAAAAAAAAAAATGGAGAGCTCACCATCAGATTCAGACTCCTTCCCTTCTATTGGGAAATCCTTCTTTGAAAG